ACCTAGTGAGAGTTGCTAAGTACTGCCTGGTCTTGAAACTGGGGGGAAATTCTCCTCAGAATCCATTTAATAAAAATAAGAGTTAAAGTTAAAACAAATCAAATTAAAAATAAATCAGAAAAACTCAGAATAAGAATCAAAGCCAGAATTTGAGCAGAGGAGGAGAAAAGGAAAGGAGGAAGGACAAGAAAAGTGAACCTCCAATGGAGGTTAAATATAATAAAGGAAATAAAAGGGAGATGAAGGAAGACTATGTTGGAAAATAAACTATAAACCCCAAATTTCACCCAGAGAAATCAGGAAGGAATCCCCACAAGTGTCGTAAAAACTCATTTCCCTCTTGATAGGAATTGTATTTTGCAAGAATCAACCTTGCTCTGCCTCGTTTCATCATTTATTAACTTGTTACTAAAACAGAAGCTGCCTAAAAAAAACATTTTTTTGCAATTTCTCCACTATTTCCCCTTAAACGGGTTTCTTCTGCATGCAGCAATCTTAGCCTTCCCAACCTTGATTCAGACTTTAATTCCGTGACAAATTTGGATTTAGACGACCCTTGAGGCATCTCGGTGTCTGATGTAGGTCTAAGAGGGGGAAGTTGGGGAAAGGTCGTCCCCCTTTTTCCGTGGAGATTCCCGCTCTTTTCCCCACCGGATCGGGGATCCTTCTGAATCTTCTCTTAAGAGGTCAAGAGGTAACCATCTTCTCTTTCTTGAACAACTTCCGAATGCCTTTCTTTAGCTTTTGGAAAACTCTGAGGAACCTCTTCACCCGTCTGGGCTGATCCTGGAGGGGACGAGAAAGGCCACCTTTGGTCAGGGCTGGTTCCCCAACAGTCGGGACGGAAAACAGGACACGTTCAGAATAGTTCTCGACTTACGACCCCGATCGTTCTGTGGCTAAGGGGGACATTTTATTCGTCCCCGTTGGATGACTCTTCCTGCCAAAGCGGAGAAGTAAAACTCTGCCAGTAGCCTGGTTGTTAAGTGAACCCCATGGACTTTGCTGGTCCGAAGGTCGCAAAAGGGGACACTGCAACCGGGACACTGCGACCCTCATAAATACAAACCAGTTGCCAAACATCTGGATTTTAATCACGTGACCACGGGGAGGCTGCAATGGTCATCACTGTGGAAAACGGTCATCAGTCACATTTTTCAGTGCCGTTTCACTCTGGTCACTAAATGAGGACCACCTGTACGGAATGACAGAGTTGGAAGGGACCTTGGAGATCTTGTACTCAACAGGTGGGCCTCAACGGGACTATGTACTTATCCTCCAAAACTCTCAGCGCACTGGGGAATTACCTGAGGATTGGAAAAGGGCGGGTGTGTTTCCCATCTTCAAAAAAGGGGGAAACTACAGAACCAGGAAACTACAGAACAATCAGCCTAACATCCATACCTGGGAAGATACTGGGGGGGAAATAATCGAAAAACAGACCTGTGAACATCTAGAAACAAATAGTCATAACTAGTAGCCAGCACATGTTTGTAAAAACAGATCACACCAAGCCAATCTTATTTCATTCTGTGACAAAGGGACTAAATTAGTAGACCAGCGAAATGCTGTGGACGTAATAGACTTAGACTCCAGTAAGGCGTTTGACACAGTAGCCCACAACCAATTTCTGGGTAGTGGGAAAATGGAGGATAGTGATTGGCACAAAGTCACCCAAATGCCTATCGTGCTGAAGGCAGGACTAGAACTCCCCGTCTCCTGGTAATTCACCAGCCGGCTTTCCTGCCTAAGGAGGGTCTCGAACTCACCAAATAAAGTCATCACTAGTAGCCAGCACAGGTTTGTTAAAAAAAAATCATGCCAAATCAGTCTTGTTTAATTCTTTGATAAAGGGACTAAATTAGCAGAAATGCTGTGGACGTAATAGACTTAGACTCCAGTAAGGCGTTCGACACAGTAGACCACAACCAATTTCTGGGTAAGCTGGGAAAACCTGTGATAGGCAGCATCACCACCTGATGGAGGGTAGCTGGCTGACAAACCGTACTCAACAAGTAGTCCTTAACGGTACTACTTCTACATGGAGGGAAGTAAGCAGTGGGATGCCACAAGACTCCGTCTTAGGCCCAGGACTCTTCAATATCCTGATAACCAGGGATGGGATTCTACCAGTTCGCACCTATTCGCTAGAACCGGTTGTTAACCTTCTAAGCAGTTCGGAGAACCGGTTGTTAGAAGAAATTACTGGGCTAATCCTGTAAGGAAGGCAGGAAGGAAACATTCTGGTCTTGCTTACAGAAACTGCCTTATTACCCTTATTACGTTCTTGGCAGGACTAGACTTCCTGTCTCAGGAACTTCTCTGGAGTTTTTTTCCCCCTCCTTTGCTGGTACTTTGCTTGTGTGGAGTGACCATTCAAAGTTACAATGGCACTGAAAAAAGTGACTTATGACCATTTTTCAGACTTACGACTGTTGCACCATCCCCCCAGTCATGAGAGGCCAGGAGAGGAGATGCGTGCCTCGATGTGAGTGATGTTGAGTTGGCCATGCCCAACCAGTAACATGACCACCAAACCATGTCCACCCAGTCACATGACCACCAAGCCACCTCCACCCTCTAAGCCACGCCCACATAACCGGTTGTTAAAAATTTTGAATCCCACCCCTGCTGATAACTGACTTGGATGAGGGAATAGGAGGGGAACTCATCAAATTTGCAGATCATATTAAACTGGCAGGAGCAGCCAACACCCCAGAAGACAAGCTTAGGATCCAAAAAAGATTTTGACAGACTTAAACAATGGGCCCCACCCAACAACGTGACATTTAATGTGGAGAAAAACAACTGTGAGAAATGCACTTAGGCAGGAAAAACCAAAGGTACAGGAGATTAGGAGAAACCTGGCACAAAAAGAGAAACTTTAAAGTCCTACTGGACGATCCCTTAAATACGAGCCAGCCGTGTGTGGCAGCAGCCAAAAAAGCTAATACAATCCTGGGTTATATAAACAGAGGCATAGAATCAAAATCACATGAAGGTTTAGTACTATTTTATAGGTAAGGACACACCTGGAATGTATTTCCAGTTTTGGTCACCACGTTACAGAAAAGATGTGGAGACTTTGGGAGGGAAAGTGCAAAGAAGAGCAACTAAGACGATCCAAGGCCTCGAGGATAAAACATAGGAAGAACAGCTGCAGGATTTGGGTCTGGCCAGTCTAGAGAAAAAAAAGGACTGGGGGTGTGTGACATGATAATCGTGTTCCAATATTTGAGAGGCTGCTACAAAGAAGAGTTGTGGTGTCAGACTATTTTCCAAAGCACCAAAAGGCAAGACAAGGTGAGAAACCATGGTTGGAAGCTAACCAAGGAGAGAATTGAGAAGAAATTCCCCAACAGTGAGAGCAATCAACCCATGGAAGAGCTTCAGTAGTTGTGGGGGCTCCGTCCCTGGAGGCTTTCAAAAAGACATGGGATAACGATTTGTCTGAAACGGTACAGGGCATTGAGCTGGGGGGGCTGGACTAGAAGACCTCTGAGGTTCCTTCCAACTCTTATTCTTCTATTTATCTATTCTAGTCCAACCCTCGGCTGGAGCAGGAGACTTTGTATAATTCCAGACAAGTGGCTGTGCAGTCAGTCTCTTCTTAAAAAGAGAACATTTCTCCTTAGTTCTAGGTTGCTTCCGTTGTTTCTTTCCTTGCCTTCTGGTGCTTTGGAGAATATGTTACCGATGTGAGAAGCACAGATGAAAAATGGCATTTTTTTTTAAAAGGGTGGTGGGGGAAGGAAATTCTGCCCATTTCTGGGACACGGGACATGATGGATATGATTTAAGCTCAAACCCGAAACTTTCAGTTTCAGAAACTGGAATGCAGGAAGCAGAAAATACGTTTGCCCAATCTTGCAAATCAATCTGGCTTTTCCCACGCGACCCCTAAAAAAAGCACCTTTAATCCAACTATTTCCTCAATGTGCTTCTCCTTCCCCTTTCAAGAAGACCTCTAAAATGCTCAAAACTGTGAACCTTAAGAGGACTCTCTGCAGGAAACAGGAAGAGAAAGTCTTAGGGCTTCCCAGAAATGACTTAATTATATTTTTCAGCATGTCTCAACAGTGGGCAGGTCACTGGTTCAGGAAGACCCAAAGCTTGAGAGAGACCTATAAGTGGAATTTCCTCTCTAAAACATGTGGCATAAAACCTCCTTCTAGGTTGGAAGGTCATCACAGGAGGCCCCAGAAATCCCACCGTCTTTTAACCTCCTCCTTCACCTCTTCCTCCTCCATCCTCTCTGCAAACCCCGTTCCCTTCTAGCACTGATGATATTCCTTAGTTGGGTCATGAAACGTCTGCAAGAAAACCACCCAGCTCATAGAGTAATAAGGACCCACAAGATGTCTTCTTCCTCTTCTTCCGCCTCCTCCTCCTCCTCCTCTTCCTCCTCCCTTCAAACCCTCCCTCCCTTCTAGAATTGATGATGTTCCCTATTTGAGTCATGAAATGTCTGACAGAAAGCCACCAAGCTCAGAGAGCACCAAAGACCCCACGGTCATCGTCCTCCTCCTCCTCCTCCTCCTCCCACCCCCCTTCAAACCCTCCTCCTTTTTAGCCCTGATGACATTCCCTAGTTGGGTCATGAAATGTCTCCAAGAAAACTACCAAGTTTGGAGAGCACCAAGGACCTGTCAGTTCAGCTCTGAGCTACAAACGTCTATGGTTTACTTAATTATGTTTCCACCCTGTCTCAACCCTGGGCAGGTTGCTGGTTCAGGAGGAGCCAAACCTTGGGAGATGCCACTGAGGTGGAATCTCCTGTCTAAAAGATGCAATGTAGGACCTCAGCTGAGACACGGGGTCTCCTTTGCCTTGCCAAAGGTTCAACCCCCCCTTCTAGGTTCTGAGCTCATGGCAGGAGGCCCCGTGGATCCCACGGAGTTCTTACCTTCTCCTCCTCCTTCTCCTCCTCCTCCTCCTCCTCTTTCTCCTTGTTCTTGGCCTGGTTCTCCTCTTCCTTCCCCTCCTCCTTCTTCTCCACTTCTTCTCCTTTCTCCTCCTCCATTCCAGCCAAAACTACACAGGTGAGTGCAACCACTGGGGGCCTCTCATCAAAAAAGTAGCAGCCAGTACATTGCCTGACCACCTGCAGAGGAGAAAAATGCATGAATGAAAAGCAGATCTACACATCCCAATATAATGTGGCCGGGTCCAATCCGTCAACAGGACCAGACGTTGTAGTCTTTCGAGTTTTTGGACTCCTGCCGGAACCCACCCCCAAGGAAATTCTCTCTCTACTGAATGTGGAATGTGGAGAGAGAAGGAGAGAAGCTTTCTGAAGATAGGCTGTGACACAAGTCTGAAAACTTGGAAAACTCAACCTCTGGACTTGGTAACCAACTCAGTTTGGATCCTGCAGAAAAAAGATTCAAGCTACCTCCCAGAGTTGATTACTTGCTGGCCACAATCTGATTTCCTAAGGGGGGAATCTTGGTAGCCCCTGATAATCGCTTCGGCCACGTGGCCCTGCCTCCATCTACCACAGATCAGGGCTCTCCAACCTTAGCAACTTTAAGACGGGTGGACTTCAAACTTCCAGAATTCCTCAGCCAGTTCCTTGCTAAGGTCGGAGACCCTCGCAATAGATCGCCCACCCCTTCGCTGGCACCTGTCACTCACCCCACCTTCCTTGAAGCCACATTCCTCAAAGAAAACCACATCTTCCAAGAGACACATGGTTTCCTTGATGGTGAAGTTCAGCTCTTGATGGCTTTCAGAAATGGGATCCTGAAACAAGGAGGTGGCTAGTTAGTTTGAAGGCCACCTACGCCTTCTCCCCTGTTACATTGGAATTCTTTCTGGATGACTCTCGAGGGCGCCAACAAATGTTGGCTACAGAGCAGAGCTCATGCGGGTCCCAGAAGTTCTGGCTTCCACGCTCATCATCCTGACGTGGATGAAGATCTCCATGCTAGGAGAACAGGATGGATGGATCCCCCCTTTTTTCACCAGCTCACCAGCAGTCTCAGAACTGCCGCTCATCAGGGATGGATCTTCTGTACAAAAGTCTCTAAACAAGCCCACAGTGGACCTCAACTGAAGAGTACCTACCCACTGAGGCTCAGCAAGAGCCCCCAGAAGCCGGTATACACAGTCTTCTCCTGATCTGCTATTGTAGATGGCCACTGCAAGGGCCACAACCTCCTTGTAGGTCAAGGGTTTAGTATGGGGTAGTGAGGAGGTCCCAAAGAACGAAAGAGTTCCAACCACCATCCAGGTCTTCCAGAAGTTCCCTTCCATCCTTGGTTTCTTCTCCGACGGAGGTCCACGGCCGATGTGGTCATAAGGACCACTGTCTCCTCCTTTTATGTCCTGATATGCAGGTCGTCAGCCTTCTGAATTTTCCGAGGTCCTTCCTGTATACTCCTCTGGGGAGGGGGACCCACACGGAAGAGGGCCAGCCAGGGACTTTGTCCAGGTGGGCAACTGGCATATAAAGGAACAGGTGCAGCCCCATGCAGAGTGATCGATTACAATCCCCTCCATTTTTTTTTCCATTCACGAGGGTTAGGGACGGATGCCAAGGTGTAACCTCACAGCAGGAGACCTTCAATCATATTCTCTCTCTGGTACTTTCCAGATCGCCTGGGACAACCGACAGCAATGGTGGTTGTGTTGCTTCTTTGTCTCTCGCTGTCGTTTTATGCTCCTTTCTCTTCAGCCTTTTTTGCAGTCTGATTTATTATTATTATTATTTTCCCCCCCCATTGAGAGTTTTTCAGTTTGAATTCTTTTCCTAAATTCTCCCCTGAGAGATTTCTGAAATCTGTAGAGCAGCGATTCTCAATCACGGCAACTTTTAGATTTGTTGGAGCTTCAGGTTGTGGGGTTTTAAAGAGGGGTCCAGGTTTTTGTTTTTGTTTTTTTAAAAAACCGATTGCCATGTCTTCTCCAAGCATAATTAAGACAGGCCTTCTTTGGGGTGAAGCTTACTTCTGGGTTATCTTAGCGAGACGCCCATGTAGAAGAATCTGGGGCCGGAGTGAAGAGGGACATCGGTCCAGATGATAGAATCCCTCTGTAGTCACAAGCAGACTAAATCCAACTCTCCTTGAGTGGTGCGGGCTGTTAGCAGACTCGCAACAAGGGCTACGTTGGCTCTGTTATTCTGAAATATCTCCTGCTTGACCTGGAGGTTAGGACTGGAATAGTCCAACCTCCCGCAACATCCGGCCCATGGCGTGCTTAGATCTGGCCTGCGGGGCTGCCCTGGAAACAGCGGACTGGGCTGCGGTGACTCTGCCAACGGAAACGGACCGCGCATGGCCCTCCCAGGCCCCGTGTTCAGCCACGACAGCCTCCTGCAGTCCCCTGCCGGTGAAAACGGAGGCCGGGAAGGCTGATGCAGCCAAAAATGGATCCCTGGTGGGTCGCCTCCCTAGGCACCGTTTTGGCTGGCAGAGGGCTGCAGGAAGCCATCATGGCTGAAAATGGAGCCTCAACGAGGGACGGCGAGTTGGCCATGCCTCCCCCCCCCGGCCATGCCCTCCCCAGGCCCTCCCTTGAGGTCAAACACAACCCTGACGTGGCCCTCAATGAAATCGAGATTGATACCCCTGGAGTAGAAGACCTCCAAGGTCCCTCCCCACCGTGTTCTTCTGTAACGGTCTCCTGCTTAAGCGGGGGGCTGGACTAGAAGACCTCCAAGGTCCCTTCCCACCGTGTTCTTCTGTTATTGGTGGCCCACAAAGCCCCAGATTCACAGTGGGGAACCAGAATGTTGAACCAGTCATTCAGGGGGCTGTTTGTCCCCTGGGAACCCCTACGTGGCATAGGGTCAGTCTATAGGAGGGAGGCTGCCTTTCTCCTTTGGTTCCTGCTCGCCCCACTAGATCTAAGAGATCTCTTTGGTCAAGCCATGACCCCAAACCCATTGCCTTCTCTGGGGCAGCCCCTGGACTGTGAAACATCACCTCAGCCCCCACCCCCACCCAACCTCTTGGACTCTCGGCAGGTTCTGCCTTTCTGGCCATTTCCTCCTCCTCCCTCCAGGCTGTGGGGTGAACGCTGCTGTGGGTGGGGTTTGGTGATGGGGGTGGATTGTTTAGCTGGGGGATTGTTGGCCATGGTGGGTGATCTTCATCCTGGCGCATTTCCCTCCTTGCGGCGATGGGTGGCCGCGGAAACCGTGAAACAACAGATAAAGGAATTCATATCTCCCGCGCGGGGACCCTTGGAAAGGAGTCGTGTTTTTCAAGTTACAAAAGGGAGGAAGTCTTAAGTAGCACGAGAGAGAAAAATACGTGTCTTTGCCACTTTAGGGTAGAATGGTGCTGGCCTAAAAACCAGGAGATGGGGAGTTCTAGTCACGATTTGACATGGAAGCCAACTGGGTGACTTTGGGCCAATCACCAGGAGACTGGGAGTTATAGTCCCGCCTTAGGCATGAAAGGCAGCTGGGTGACTTTGGGCCAATCACCAGGAGAC